TATATATATATATATATATATATATATATATATATATATATACATGCATATATGTATTTCCCTACATATATTCATCTGCTCAGAACTCATCTAGAAGCTTCTAACAGTCACTCAGGAATCACTCACTGCTTGCCTCCATAGCACACATTCACATGTTTTCCCACTCATGCTCCAGACAAGCTCATCAAGTATGCTCACAGGGTTGTCCTGGCTTGTCATGCTACCAGCTAGGCCTCTTTCTCTGGGCCTCTCCTCCACGGCTCTGCATACTATAGGCTTTAAGTACAGAAGTTTCTTCACACTGGCCAGATGACGTTCAGTCTCAGTTATGCACAACTGTTTGACAAGTTACAATTAACATTTTCCTGGGCGGGTGGGTTTTAACTCACCTGCACGCTGTAACATTGATCTTACCACAAAGCTAGTGAATGGACATAGCCAACACCCTAACCTCTCAGTTGAATTCTTTTCTCTCACCTCCCACCCTATCCTGGGAATTGACACTAGGGTCTTGCACATGTTAAGCAAGTGCTCCACTGAGTGAGCTTTATACCCTAACTTCTTTCTGTTCTTTATTTTGACACAAGACCTCACTAAGATGCCCAGGTTGGCCTTGACCTCACTCTGTAGCCCACATAGGCTTTTTCGTGTGCTCTTCCTGCCTGAGCCTCTCCAAAAGCTGTGACTACAGACCTGTGCTGCCACACTCTGCTCTTAGGACGCTGCTACATAGAGAATAATAGTGATTATTGAGAGGTGGTGAAATTTAAATAACACTTATTATTTTTTTTTTTGTGTGTGTGTGTGTGTGTGTGTGTGTGTGTGTGTATGTGTGTGTCCATGTGTCCACATGCACAGCATTCATGAGGAGGTCAGAGGACAACTTTTGGAAGTTGATTATCTCCTCCTACAATGTAGACTCGAACTGAGATGGCCAAACTTGGTGGCAAGTACCTTTACGTGCTGGGCCCTGGTCTTGTTGATGTTGTTCTTGTTTTTAATGTTTTAATGCTGAAGGAGAAAACTTTAGATAATGGTGATGTTGGTAATCATATGGAACACAGACAGGTATGACTTGTTAAAACCCCTTATAAATATATAGCTGGCTCAATTCACACCTGTAATCCCAGTACTCGGTAGGCAGAGACAGGCAGATCTCTGAGTTTGATCCCAGACTCTGTCAAAACAAAAAGAAAACAAATCAAAACAGACTTATAAATGTTAAAGAAAAATTGTCGTAACTCCAGATTTCTAAATTTTAGAATTCTCAAAGAACATCTCAAACAAGTATATGTGAGTCGTACAGATATACCACAATTTTTTTCTAAATGACCCCCTCTTACCTCAAATAGGACCTGTCTCCATGTTTAAAATGTATGTTCAGGGAAAGATCGTTCTGCGATACTTGCTATCAAGCCTGGTCTAAGCTCAGTCCCTGGCTCCTGAAACCTCACCTCTGACCACACCTGTGCTGTGGCACACATGCATGTATATGAATGAATGAATGAATGAATGAATGAATGAATGAATGAATGAATGAATGAATGAATGAAAATAATTCAAATGTATTAGTCCCATGACGCTTAACCAGAGATAAAAAATTAAATTGTGTGGGAACTTATTAACAACAACACAAAATCTCTACTCCATGGACACAGAAAAAGAACCTACAGAATTAGGATGTGCTCATTTGACAAGTGCTTGTGACCCTTCTAAGGACAACCCTTGACTTGAAGAGAGACCCCACAGAAAGCCATCCTGAGGTGTGCTGTGGCCGGACATGTCCTAGTATAACTCCAGGCTGTGGTGTATTAGGCTGTTCTGTGCCTTGGCAGGCGAAATGGTGGCTTCCAGGGATTTAACAAGCTCCCAGCTAACGGTCCTTCCTCCTCTTGCACATTTCTGTACACTGCTCCTCCTCACTGTCTTGTCATTTGCCCTTTGAGGTTTTATTACTCTTTTGGTTTTGTTTGTTTCTTTTGGGTTTGGTTTGGTTTGGTTTGGTTTGGTTTGGTTTGGTTTGGTTTGGTTTGGTTTGGTTTGGTTTGGTTTGGCTTTTTTTTTCAAGACAGGGTTTTTCTGTTTAGCACTGGCTATCCTGGAACTCTTCTTTGTAGACCAAAGTGGCCTCAAATTCACCTGCTTTTGCCTCCTCCAGTGCTGGGATTACAGGCGTATACCACCTCGCTGGGCTCGAGGTTTTGTTACTCTTAACATCTCAGAAGAAGTAAATAAATAAATTCATAGAAATAGTTAAATCCTTGTTTGTTTAAGTTCTTTTTTTTTTAATGAAAGAATAGAAGGGCAAATGTCATTTATAATGTTTTAGAAATGGAAGATGAAGACATAGTCACTGTTGTTGGTTTTTTATTTTTAAAACAAGGACTAAACTTTTAGTTTGCATCTATGAAATGTGTTTCTTCTAAAATCTCAAAATACTTTACTATTTTCATTCTATGTCTTTAGCAACATCTAGGGACTAGGATGGGGCTGTGCCCCCACCCCACAGCTCCCTCACTCCTTCACCTTTACTGTAGATCTGGGAGGAAGCCAGGAACTGACCTGAGTTTTTGTGTTTATAAGTGGCACTGCTTTCTCAGGGAATGCTTGGGCAGTGGGGAAACTGAAGGATAATAGGATGAATATTTCCCGTTGAATGGCTCTGTGTCACATGAAAGCCAATGACAGTCACTCCTGCAGCATAGGCTTGGTTGTGTAGCTGGTAGAGAGGGAAACATTTGATCACATTGTACTTTGGGAGTCTGCCAGTTTGAAAGATGCTCTTTCCAAAGCCCCAGATCCAGTGAGCTGTGGAATACAAAGAAGTATGGGTTAGAGCTAAGTGGCCTTTTGTGCCGACAGTTCAATTAGCAACAGCTCTCTTTACTATAAAGTTGAGCCATCTGATTTGAAAAGTACATTTATGAATGGAAATATAAATTAGTCTCTTGCTAATGCTATTTTCTTTTTCTTTTTTGTTTTTGTCTCCTTTCTCTAGCATGAAAGACTTTCTAGGTAAGAACTCTCTTTTATATGCATGCTTACTTCTTGTAAGTGATTGTATGTCTAGTTAAATTTAGTTTCATATAACAGTTTAGTAGTGATCTTTGGATCCTTCCTTTTTCTTTCTTTAGTCACCACAATAATTCAGACTTACCTCTTGCCCAGTGTTATACAGCAGCTTTCAGCTCACCTTCCTGCATCCAGATTCTCTTCTTTCCATTCCACCTTGTTTACTTCCAACTGATAAATTGTCCTGAAGCATCAGGCCCAGACCCTGTGCTGGGTAATAGGAGGTAACATGAGTGAGGCATTGCCCAGGCCTGCCATTAGTTTACAATCTACTGGAGCATCGGCGCTTTCCAGAAGAATGCAGGAAGTCCCATCTAGACTGTCAGTCAGGTATGGTGGGTGCACAGCATGGGCAGTTAATGTGATCTGATAGTTCAGAAGATAGGGTGATTGCCACGTGGACCCCTGAGTTGAGACAGATGAGATATTGTCACCTTATAGTGAACCCAGCCCTATATCTTATATTCAAATGGTACTTATGAATCACATGCACTAAATGCCTGTTCTGCAATTATTAAAATAAATAAATAAGGATCCTCTATAATTTTTCACATAGTATCGAAGGTACATAGTAGCTGTCCTCCTAAATAAGAAAATAAAGATGATAGCAACTTTGGAACTAAATGTTTGCATCTTTCTCCACTAATCCTGTGATGGAGCGATTAAGAGAAAATGGGATAAGGAGCAGATGTGGTTCTAGGATGTCACAAGGGGATTGGTTTCACAATTGGTAGTTGAGCTAGTTCAACCTTGCTAATATATACTAAGATTTATATGTATTCTTTCTATGTCTGCCCTCTCACCAAGTACAAGCCAAGGATAAATAATTTACCTATCAAGTAGTATAAAATGACTTTCTAAAGCACAAAGAGTAGTATTTTGCTCTAGCTCATCTTTAAAGAACTCAGGTATGTTACAGTGGCCACACTGAAGGACACTTCTCTAGAGATGTCAGAATGTACCATAAAATTGTAGTGATTATACTGAAATAGCAGTTTAGGAGTTAAGACAGAGGTGAGATGGCTCGGCTAAATAAAGGTGTTGCCAGCACACCCGACAACTGAGCGGGACCCCAGGACCCACATGGTAGAAGGGAAGAACCAACTCCTCACAGCTGTCCTCTGACCCACACACATATGTGCACACAAATAAGTAAATATATAAAAACAATAACAAGCAAAGAGATTGACAGAATGCAGTCCATACCACAGCATCTTCAAAAGTCGTATGTATAATGTGAATTTTCATCTCGGGTGGATACAGACTTATTGAGAAAATGGACTATTTTGTTTTGTTTTGGTTTGGGTTTTTTGCTTGTTTTGAGAAAATACATTCTTCTTTCACTCTATACTTAAAAACCAACAGAAATAGATTTCAAATAGTCACATTTTAAAAGAGAAAGGCCTTTCCTACAAAAATAGCACAAGACAGTATTTTATTATTTGTATATAGGAAACACCTTCCCAAACAGTACCCTAAAGATTGTAAAGTGTCAAGTTTCATTATGTAATTTTACATTGTTGTTATTAAAAAATAACTGTAAATAGCTGGGCATGATGACTCAGACTTCTAATTCCAGCACTTGGAAGACTGAAGCAAGAGAATCAGGAGTTCAAGGTCAGCCTGGACTACGTAGGAAATCCTACTCCAACTTAGGCAATATGGAGCCCTGTCTCAAAAAAAACTAAAATAATGGAAAAATAAGAGACTATTGATGCTTTTAAGAGAAAAAAAAAAAAAGAGTTGCCATAAACAGACAAAAAGTGAAGTGAGATTTTTTTTTTTAATATGCGATGTTATTGGACAGTTATAAAAGCCCTATGTGTAAGAGCATCATCCAGGGTGTGACAAGATGAAGCTGCTTCACTAAACAAAGTGTGACTGGCCACCCAGACACAGCAGCACTGAATAACCAAACACACTGAGCCTCCCTCACAACTTAAAATACTAAAACAGGACAATAAGAGTAGCATTTTCCTTTAAAGTTGGTGTGATGTAAATCCTGGTTGTCAACTTGATATATCTGAGAAGAGTTCCCTCTCAACTGAAGAACTGTCCTCATCAGATTGACCTGTGGACATATCTGTGGGACATTCTCTTGATTGTTAATTCATGTTGGAGGGAGGGCTCAGCCCACTGTGGATGTTGCCATCCCAAGGCCTGGGCTGTGTAAGAAAAGGTAGCAGGACATAAGCCTGGAAGCAGCCAGTACATACTGTTTCCTGGTCAGATTCTGCCTGAAGCTCCTGCCATAAGTTCCTGCTGTAACTTCCTTGGGTGATAGACTATAACCTGTAAGCTAAAATTAACCCCTTTCTTCCCCACATTGATTTTGGTCATGGTGTTTATCACAGCTGTAGAAAGCAAACCAGGATACTGGAAAGGGTTAAATCTCTTTGGAAGGCACCATAGCCATTTATAAATAAGTGTTCACAATGTAGACCTTGATCACATAGTTGCATTTCTAAATTTTTTTCTAAAAAAGTAATTGGACAGTTGAGCCAGTGGAGGCAAATAGCACACAACAGTAATTCCAGCACTCAAGAGGTAGAGGCAGGAGGATCAGGAGTCCAAGAACATCAGCAAGTTTGAGGCTATTCTGGGCTATATGAGGCCTTGTCTCAAACAGAAAACAACAACCACCAAAATAAAACAAAATAAAATAAAAGTAACTGGCTAACTGTACCAAGAATTACAAATTAGACTGCACCTTTTAGTATTGTTAATAGATATATTAATAGCTAACAAGTTTGAAGCAGTGTGTCTACCACCTGAAATTTGGTTAAATTACCAGTTAACCATGGAATAAACTGTATAGTCATTTTTAAGGAGGAAGTACATTTTTATTTATATGGTAAGATGCTCACAGAATCATGAATGTAGGGAGATAAAGTAAATGTAGGTCTTAGATGGCTTTAATGTGTATATGGCTTTTAATATATATTTTAACACTTGTATTTGACATTACAGAAGTATGTGAAATCTACTGTTAAAAGCAGTTATTTCTTGGTCAAGATTATGGGGTGGATACTTTGGTGTTACATAATGTATTGCTTTTGTAGTCAGAAAAGTCATCAATACAAAGATTTCCATTGTAAGGAGTGAGGATGCTAAGAAGAGCACAGGTTCTGGCATCTCTAAGAGAAAAAGGCCCCAACTTCCCTTGTAGCTACCACTTCACTATTGCCTCACTGCCTTGCCATGACTGTCCTCTGCTTTTTATGGCTTACTTCAGCTCTACCAGCAGCCACCACAGAAACCAGACAGGTCTCACAGTTGGGATGGTACAAACCAAATCAGTTCAGGGGACAGTGCACTGGAGGGCTGGTTTGCACACAGCACTTTGATATGTGCGACCCAGTAGTGAGCAAAGAGCAAAGCTCGGAAAAACATTAGCTAGTGTGAAGGATTAAAGTGACAGTAGGACACAGAGCTGGTAATTAACAAAGAGACCCATCCCTGAAATACTTAGCAGTGCTGGAAATAAAGCCACCAACAGCTCTGGAAGCTCATTTGGCAGATGTAGAAATCTTAACTACAGCAAAAAGTCTTAATACAGAATACAGGGGAGAAAACAGGTTGCTTGGGTGTGTGACTCCAGCAACCCTGCTATGTACCCCAAAGCCCAAGTGTCATGCTGCAGTTGCTATTCTTCCTTTCTCTACTGGCTGCCTCTCCAAGCCCATGTGTTTCTGATTCATTGACAGTTCATTGTAATCATTTTCCCTTCAGACCCAAGAAACTTTGACTGTTAAAGACACTCTCCAAAGAAGCTGTTCAACTCCAGATTAATTTGAAAGTTCTAAGATTTAGAGCAGCACATGGATCCAAGCTACCAATTTTTCAAGTAAACTCCATTTCCATTCTTGGCAAATGATAGCCTCTCTCCCCAAGCTGCATACTAGCTTATATGCATACTCACTGCTGTGGTGTGGCCAGGAGACCTGGGCATGCTCACTGCGAGATTCAAAATAGGCAAGATTCTGGCCAAATACTTCTTAGAAAAGGCACAGACGAGCTTCAGGCTCTATCACACATACACTGTGTTCTCACACCAACTTTTTTATCTTCAACATTTATTTTATAGGTTGGAGTCAGGAGGCAGTAACCCAGCAAGCAGTGATTCTTACAGTGACCGCACCTCAGCAAGAGCCCGTCGGGAGGCCAGGGAGGCTCGTCTAGCCAGCCTGACCAGCAGGGTAGAAGAGGACAGCAACAAGGATTATAAAAAAGTAGGCTCTCTGGCCAGGTCTCCTTTTCTTGGCTTATGATATGTAAACCTCTCAGTTTTTTCTACCAAAGGAAAAAAAAGAGCAAAATTCTGGATAAGGAATTCAAAAGATACATAAGTGTCTTCTTTGTTTGCTTCATCTCTCTACTAAAGACATTTGTATATTGTTTTTATTGTAGTAAGTATATGCCTAGATCAAATATTTAAAAGTATAGGGGAAAGTAAGACATTTATTTTTAGGAAGAGTAAAAAGCGCAATGCTGTATGTCCAAGCCCATGAGAATTATTTGGTTAGACTTATTTTTAAGAAAAAACATGCTTTTAGTAAGGTGTTTTGAATATCAAATATTTTGGTGTTAGTTTTTAAAAATTTGTTATCATCCATTTGTCTTGGTTCTTGCTCTTTGGACCTTGAAAACATTCCCTTTCAGGTGTTTGAGATATAGGGAGTGAGAGGGAAGAACCAAAACATTTTGGTTAAGGACATTTTTCTAGGTTGATACTTTTGTTATTTTTGTTATTGAATTTGACAAAAAAAAAAAAAAAAAAACCCACACTGGTTCCAGAAACAATAATTCTGTTTTGTCTAGAGGCTACATTTTAAGCGATGCAGAGACCATGTGGGAGAAATGGGTAACTGGTTTTTCTCCCGGAGTTTATCCTCACTGATATTAGAGCCTCACCCTTTCCTTGTGTCCAGCACCTGAGGTCCTGAAGCCAGAGAACAGTGACTCTCCATAAACTACCTTCTTCCTCTCCACCCAGTTGATCATGGAGATTTGGAGCATAACTTAGGAGACCACCCAGTGACCTGGTTCTGTTCCCCTCACAGCTCTACGAGAGTGCCCTTACTGAAAACCAAAAACTGAAGACAAAACTTCAGGAGGCCCAACTAGAGCTTGCTGATATAAAGTCCAAGCTTGAGAAGATGGCCCAGGTAAGGAGAGGAAGAACGGGGGGGAGGGGGGGGATCCATACAAAGAGGTGAACTCAGAATCTAGGGAACAGGTTCTGAGACGGAGTCCAAGTAGCACGTCCCCTGAGCTGATCAAATGGACGTTCTATAGTCTCCTTTTAAGGTTTAAGATTCAGTGGCTGTTTAACTTAGTAATTGTGAAAACTAATAGTAAAGTTCAGTGAACAACTAACTGAGGGTCTGAATGGTAGTAACTAGTGTTAATACAACTTCTCACTATAGAATACAAGCCGGGTCAGTACAGAGTCAGTGCTAGAGGTTCCTCCCATCCTGCTCATGCAGCAGTTCAATTCCTCTGCACCTTGACTCCTGGAGAGAAATAAGCAGAACACTATAACCAAGTATAGAGAGTCCCAAAAGGAGCCCAAGAATCACTAAGTGGTTTGCTTACATCAGGGAATGAAGTGGTTCAACATTAGGTTCCAGGAGGACTCCACCCTGGAGCAAAATGTCCCCCTACATCTGGCAGTGAGGAAATACTAACAGAATGAGCGAGTAAGCCACTCGCTCTTACTGCCAGGCCTGATTTAATTACACAAAGCTTGAGAGGCTGCCGGGGTAATGATCTCATTGCCCGTGAAGCAAACCCTGCAGCTGAGAGCTACAATCCTGTCTTGGGTTATTGCAGAGTTAACAGGAAACCTATTGAGTTATTGCCCTCCTAGAACGCCTGGGGACTAAGTATTTCAAAAGCGGAACTGAGTTAAAAAGGGCTCTTTATGAGGATATAAAATGAAAACCAGAGGTGGCTACTTAATCTGGTAATATGATATAATCCAAAAGCAAAAATGAAATTATAGGCTCATGTAGTCCCAAGCATATGATACGTAGTCGGGGAGGGGTTGAGGACCCTCTTAGCATCTTATTCTAGCCCCTCTGACATGAGATACACAAGGGAGCAAAGCGAGTGACAGGAACCAAACATGACTCTTTCTGAGCTAACACATACTAGGTTTAACAAACAAACAAACAAACAAACAACAAAGGTCTCTGAATTCCAAAGAAAAGTCCATGACACAGTTATGACCCTGCCATCAGATGAGGAATGAACTAAATAAGCTTTATGGTCACTTTCCCCTCTGCATTACTGAGCTAGGCAGTATGTCTTGTTCTGAATAGCTTCCAGATGGACAGCAGCTAGTACTAAATGCAGCCCTTAAGCTGCTCCCAGAAGTTGCACCCTTTGCAGGACATAAAGGAGCAGCCCCATGAAGAACACTTTGGTCGACTCCTAGCAGGAGCTGCTGATGCTAGCCTGTAGAGATCTTAGAGTTCATGCTTTCCACCAGCCATGCACTGTCCGTGGCAGCCTAACAAACTACATAGAGTGACTCCCACAGAACATCAGGACAGAATCAGCCTTTCCCAGCCACTGGGGCAGCACTATCCACCAGCTAGCCAGCTACCCTGCTAGGTATGCTGGGATACACTTAACTTTACCAGATACAAGCTCAGAAAGAAATGATGGTGCTACAAACCAAGTGTCTATTTACCAAAAATGGAGATGTTTGCTAGGACTGTGGAGGGAGGGAGGGAGGGAGGGCCTGTCAGCCTCATGTATTTGCTTGGAGACAGTTCCCACATGGACACATGCAGCATTTTGCATAAAATGTCAAAGGAGTTATAATTTAAAACTATAGAAGCAAAACAAAACAAACAAACAAAAAAAAAAACTAGTTCTTTGCATTCTGAACTTTGTGAATCGTGGAATCTTCCAGTTTGTCAAGCTTAGGAAAGAGACAAAGGAAGATATAACAAACTCTGAGATCTGCTAATGCGTTTTCCCTTTCCTTTCTGCTTCTCAGTAGATGCAGTATAAAGGCAGACAGCCATGACCTTCAGAACAGAAGGTAAAAGTCTAGGATGAGAGCCAGAATTCTAAGTTTTATTGTTAGTTTTAGCAGAAAGGAAGAAAGAAAAGGAAGAAAAGGGGGAGGGAATCTTCTGCAGGACCAGCCTGATGTCCCCATTTATTGCAAATGTCTGGGCATTATGCTGGGCAAGACAAAATAGTCATCCTTTATTCATTAAATGTCTACTGAATGTACAAAATTCCACCCAGTCCCATAATGCGAAGACCAAAGGAGACCTACAGGTTCTTACATTTGAAGTTACTCTTCTTAGGTTTAGGGGCCAAATCTTTTTATTCCTCTGAAGGATTGAAATTGAAAGTCAGTTCAATTTAATCTAAATATATACTGATCTAAATATATATTGTAACTCCTTTATTCAAATAAAATCCTGTTAACAAATTAAAAACAGAAACAAACAGATAAAAGTGGGACTGCTCTGTTAAGAAAGCAGAAACTAGCTAAGAAGACTGGCTGCCTCATGTGAAGACCACCACACTAGAAGGAAAATGGCCTCAGTGCTCAGAACAGAAGTGACAGAAGATTGCTTACAAGAGTGCCACAAGGCTCAAGCATTTAAGTTAAGGGGTTCCCAGCCTTTAAAGAAGAGCTGCTGATCTAGAGGTGGGGCAGGGGTGATCCAGTGTAAGGAGTTTGGACTTTGGAGTCTAAAGGGAGAGGGAAGGTGGTGAGTGTGCTATAAGTAACGTCTGTGCACATGTGTTGGGCCTCAGGGACTGTTCCTGCCTTCCTCTCCCTGGGAGCCTTACATACTGTTCAAGGCAAGTGTCAGTGATCTCACAGTCAATTTGCTTGAGACCCTTGCTAAAGGAGAAGCCCAGAGCCTTGCCATCTCTTTCTGGATATCTGGTGGCAAACCAGAGCAAAGCTGGCTGATACTGCATGTGAAACAGACTAAATAACAGGTGTTTTCCTTCTGTTTGCACAGCAGAAACAAGAGAAGACCTCTGACCGGTCCTCGGTGCTGGAGGTGGAGAAACGGGTATGCTCATCTCCCTTGCCGCTTGCTGCAAGGTCTTCTTCTGACTTCTCTAACTTTGTTGTTCATGTCAACGGAAAAAGTTCATCTTAAGAAGCGGGAGCTCTGCCACATTCCAATCCCATCTTAATTATATATATAGATTAGTCTGACTATAGAGAGAGACTATTAAATATAGACTATATATAGTTAGAATATATACATATATATACATACACACATATATACATATATGTATTGTCACATATATATATACATATATATATGTGTATGTTTATATGTGTGTGTGTGTGTGTGTGTGTGTGTGTGTGTGTGTGTGTGTGTGTGTGTGTGT